GTCGTCCGTGGGATTTGAACCCTAGACCTGCTACTTGGAGAGAGTGACGACTTGACCACTTCACTAAGCCGCCACACTCTATATATTATTTGCAGTTTCTTTTTCATTGTTCTTATTATCTTCAAGAATAACTTCATCACTATCCTCAGATAATATATTAATATTTTTTTGAAAGTGTTCTAAGATTATTTAAACTTGTTTATCAACACTACTTTGAATAAACTTCAAACAATACAAATACTTAGATCCATTTCTAGTATAACACTCGATATAGTATGTATGCCTGCATGCTAAAATTTGCAGTACTTGTGAAGTTATTAAAGTAGTATAACCTGTATAATATTTGGATGAATTACAAAAACATTCAAAACTAAGCATATGTAAGTAATTAAATTCTAAAGGAAGATAGCAATGCTTAGCTTCATTAATCTTTAATGCCGGAATTGGAAACATAATCTCTTGTTTTTGCTTTTTTTTTGTTAGTTCTATGGGTGAAATTAAAAAAGAATTGTTACTATAATTAATCCAAGTATAAATTTCAAAGAAACAATCTAATAAAAAATATATGCATTTTCGTATTAAGAGTGTTATATCATCAGCAAATTTAATAGTGCGTAATATTGCATAATAAATTACGCAACGTAAAAAAACTGTAATATTACGCAATATATTGCGCAATATTGTGAAATATTATAATTATAAAATATTATGCAAATTATTATGTAAGATCTTGCGCAAAATGACGCATGTCGATTCCAAATAATGATCTTCATTCATAATATATTTTTTTTTAATTTTATTTTTTTTATCTTTTTCGTCATCTCTTTGCTTCTTACTATTTATCGTTTTGATTTCCAACATTCAACTATCACTTTTTCTTTCTTTCTTTTTAGTTTTTTCTTCGTCATTTCTTCGTTTGGAATTGATCGTAGTTGATTTTGATTTCCTAAAAACACATTCAGCTACCACTCTTCTTTCTTTTTTTCAGATGAGATTCAGTTTTTTTCTTCATTGCTTCTTCGTTTGGAATTGCACTTCTGGTTTTGGGTAGCTATTATTTAATCGTAGTTGATTTTGATTTTCTGGAAATATATTCAACTATCACTCTTTCTTTTTTCTAGATGAGTTTTGTTTTTTTTTTGTCGCTTCCTTTGGAATTGCACTTCTGGCTTTGGGTGGCTACTATTTAATTGTAGTTGATTGTGATTTCCTGGAAACACATTTAACTATCACTCTCTTTCTTTTAGATGAGGTTTAGTTTTTTCTTCATCGCTTCTTCCTTTAGAATTGCACTTCCGGCTTTGGGTGGCTACTATTTAATTGTAGTTAATTTTGATTTCCTAAAAACATTCAACTATTACTCTTCTTTCTTTTTTCAGGTGAGTTTCAGTTTTTTTCTTTGTTGCTTCTTTGTTTGGAATTGCACTTCTGGTTTGGGTAGTTACTATTTAATTGTAGTTGATTTTGATTTCCTAGAAACACATTTAACTACCACTCTTTCTTTTTTCTAGGTGAGTTTCGGTTTTTTTTTTCGTCGCTTCTTTGTTTAGAATTGCACTTCTGGCTTTGGGTGGCTGCTATTTAATCGCAGTTGATTTTGATTTTCTAGAAATACATTCAACTACCACTCTTCTTTCTTTCTAGGTGAGTTTCAGTTTTTTTTCTTCGTTGCTTCTTTATTTGGAATTGCACTTCCGGTTTTGGGTGGCTACTATTTAATCGTAGTTGATTTTGATTCTCTGAAAACACATTCAACTACCACTCATTCTTTCTTTTTAGGTGAGGTTCAGTTTTTTTCTTCATTGCTCTTCGTTTGGAATTGCACTTCCGGCTTTGGATAGCTACTATTTTATTGTAGTTGATTTTAATTTCCTGAAAACACATTCAACTACCACTCATTCTTTCTTTTTAGGTGAGGTTCAGTTTTTTTCTTCATCGCTTTTCGTTTGGAA